AAAAAAAAAAACATATTTAATATAAAAATTCAACTGGTTAAGCACTCCAATCATAAAACGGATAAAAGTTTAAAACTTTCAATCATAAAAATAAAGATATATTTTTTTAAAATAGTACTAATCCATCTATCCTTAATTAGGCAATAAGCAGTTAGTCAATGGGGTCCGTGGCCCCAGGGTCCCCAACTTAAATCCGTGCGTGAGCTTAGGAAGGGTACTAATAGACCTTAGTTTAGGAGCTAATGGTTGTGTATGCCTAACTTAAGCCCCAACAAATCAACTACTTAGTTTAAAAAATAAGATTTTCCTTACCAGTAATGCAAAGGTGTTGGTGATGCACGTCTTTGTTAGCATGCCCTCTCATATTAGATTATATTCTTAAAGAAATTCAAGTCCCTTTTCAATCTTGTCGAGCTATTAGAAAATAATTTAATTGTGAGATCAAAGAGAAGATGTAGACCACTTATACCAATTCTACTTTGCCACTCACTTCAAAAAGAAATGCCTGCCCTAATAATACATTATGAATCTCCATGAGGATGAATTAGAATTTCTAAATAATAATATAGGAAAAGCTAAAATATGAAGTCCTATGTAATTTGTGGTGATATTGGGAATAAAATTTGTAGGATGGGTAGGATGGATTCTTCATGAGAGAAAAAAATATACTTGTATGAATGACAATATAGTGGTTTACAATAAAGAAATGATCTTTTATTTAAAATAATAATATTTAAATTTTTAAAATGAATGGTTAGGGTTTAAGTTTTCAAATTAATGATTATGTTTTTCTCTAATTGAATCCCAAGGAACTTTTCCTACCTGTGAAATAAGGATTTGACACTTATGGACTGGCCTCTTTGGAAGCAAGAAAAAGTTAAATATTAAGAGTGTGCCAGATGTCCTATTTGATGCTCAGTTTGTTAAGATGTACCCAGATTTCAAAAACGTCTTATTGTGGTGAGATTTGAAGAAAATGTAGTTTAGTTTGTTAACTGATGCGTGATGTGCGAAGTGGTGATTGCTAATTACTTGAAGCTTAGTGGATCTTTGCCATCTTTACCCATTCTAATTTGGAAGTGGGAGTATATTCTTATGGATTTAATAGTTTGATTCCCAACTCATCTCAAGAGCAAGATACTAGTTGGTTGTACAGTTGTAGTAGAGATGTTGATGGAGAATGCATATTTTCTTCTTATTGGATAAGTGTCTGATAAGTTCAATTGTATGCTGACTCCATTATCTAACTTAATAATGTATCTAAGTTCATAGTTTTTTTATCGAGATAATTATTTTGGGTTGTGGAAACAATTGCAAAAAGCTATGGGAACTCAACTTATATTCAATATTGTTTTTCATATCCAAAGACATGATCAATTGAAACAAATAAAACAAATTCAATAGGACCTATCTAGAATGTGCATTTTGGTGGAGATTGCGAGAGAGAGCTTTGGTTGAATTTACATACAAAAATTGGCTATTAATCGAGCATTGACATGGTTTGATTAGAAGCATTGTTTAGATGGATATGTAGGTCGCCCTTATGTTGGACATAACTTGGAAAACAAATACTTTTAGGACACCTAATCATGAACGAAAATACTGACAAGATCAAAACAATTTAAGACAACTCGTAAAACATGTCCAGTGAAAGAAGTATCACTTCAAGAGGCAAAAGGACAACTAGTTTGAAGTGAGAGATCAAGTATTCCCTAAGGCTTGGGGAAGGGAGTGAAGCATTTTACTTTGTCCTCTTTGCATTGGATCATTTGAGATGTCATCTCTGAGACCTATTGTCTATCAATTGGTCGACAATTGATTCTAC